ATCCCTAACTCCAACACCAGTTCTCTCTCTCTGAGAAGGCTTAAGAACCACCAGTGGGTTCGGAGTCAAAAAATATCTTCCTGTTTCAAACAGATGCTCCCGCCCCACACTGCACCTTGACTTCCCGGGGATCTCCTGTTCTCCCGGACCACCGGGGTCTTCCAACAGTCCTTCCACAGGGACTCCTACAGTCCCAGTTTCGCCTTTAAAAAAAAATTTTTTTATTGAAGGATAATTGCTTTACAGAATTTTGTTGCTTTCTGTCAAACCTCAACATGAATCAGCCACAGATAAAGATATGTCCTCTCCCTTTTGAATCTCCCTCCCTCACCTGTCTTCTGATTCCCACCTGCTCACTTGCCTTTGACTGGTCTCCCTCCTCTTCCGGGGGCTTCATTTTTCACCACGTTGCCCAGCGATGCCCTGAATCAGTTTATCTCACCCAGGCTTTGCAGCCTGCCCTGAGATCTGGCTATCTTTCTAATCATGCATGTGTCTTGAGACCCACACAAAGTTCTATTAATAAAAAGCTGAACGGTGCACATGGCCCGGCCACCCTGAAGCCAGACTTCTGGGCCCCCTGCAACTTGGCCTGACCTTTCTCATCTCACCCGTCTCCAGTCCCCCTGACGGAACCCTCCTGCCAGGGAGGAGGGTTATCTTATCTCAACTCTGTGCCTAACCGAGCCTGGCTCACTGCTACCCTTGTGCCTTTGCTCTCAGGCCGTACTTCCTTCTCGAAGAACCAATTTCCCCCTACTCCTCTCGTCTCCCACGGGAAACCGTTCCAACCATAAGCTCCCTCCCTCCACACAGAAGACTTCCCTCATCACCAGGCTTTGAAGGATCTAAATTCCTGCATCTCCCTCTCATACACCTGGCATTTAGTCACTAGCAATCTGCTACAGGTGTTTTTACCTTTCAATCCTATCTTTTCATATGACAGTCATTTCCTCATGAGCATACAACATTAAGTACACTTTATTTATTTTGTTTGTCTTGGCCATGCCACACAGCATGCAGGATCTTAGTCCCCTGACCAGGAATCAAACCTGTGCCCACTGCAGAGGAAGTGTGGAGTCCTAACGACTTAACCACCCAGGAAGCCCCACTGTAAAGCACACTTTAAAAATATGAATGCTCTAATAGCAGCCAACACCAAAAGAAAGTGTTCAGGAAATAAAATTCCCTCAACAAGAACAGCCAATCTCATTTTTTCACATTTCTTTTGAGCCCTTGCCCGTTCCTGTTGGTATTTTTACATAGTAGTATCATAATAGTAGGTCCAACCATACAGTTACACATACTGTTTTATAGTCTGCTTTTTCTAACATAAGGAAGTCTTCCTTGTTAAATGGTTTTGATTTTCATCATTTTTAACATCTATAAATATCTTATCCACTGAGATATTAGACTGTAATTCACTTAAGCACTGACTTCTACTTGACATTACATTAGTCTTTGTATCTTTCACCATAATGATGATTCTTCTCTGTGACTTTCACTGCATCAAGACTGAAATGCAAACCAAACCCTTGAGAAATCCCTGCTAAAATAAATGTACTGACCATGCTTCCTAACACCCAAAATAACCCATTTCACTGGTTTTTCTTCTTTCTAGCTAAATTTCTAACGTAATTTTTGGTTTCATCACACCTCAGCAAATATATTTCCCAAACAGTTTTTTACCTAGATTTATTTTGATAGTTAATCTCACACATATTTAAGCCACAAGAAGTCCCTTGAGGAAGGCAATAAAATCCCATACTACCTAATATAAGGTAGACACCTGGCAGGCATTCAATGAATATTAAATATTTTTTAAGCCATCTACAGTTATAAAACATCAAATTACTGAACAGGAGATGTCGCTGACCTAACTAGTGCCATCAGTTATTCGTGTAAAACTTCGGCTCATTTAATAATTATATTGGTTAATAATGCATGAACAGGTGTTCCTTACAGTTCACAGAACACAGCCAGGTCACTTGGTGAGCTGTACACGTCTCAGAGACGACATGAAGAGACGGACAAACAGAACTGCAAGCAGAACTCCCAGATCTCGTGACAACACAAGCTTGACCCCTTTGACCTCAGCTGTTCAAGTTCATACTTCAGAGGGAGAAAAGTGGGGGAAAAAAGTTGTAGTATTAAAACTATGTAGAATTACACGGGCATGTGAATACAAACTGGAATGAAAGTAAGAAAATAAGTGTGAATTGTTATGGTGAAAGAATGTTGGAGACTTTTTCCTTTTTATTTTTTGTTTAAATGTAAAATGTTTGTATAATGTTAAAATGTATAACAAGAAAAATATTCCTGACAAATGCATATTCATTAACCATTACAATTCTCGATATTACTGAAGTAGGCCTAAAGCTGAATGTTCAACTAAGTTCCCCAAGCCCACATATAGTTGAGCAAATGAAAAGAAACCAACCATCCACCTTAACACCTAAGCCCAGTCAGACACTGAATCACAGGAAGAACTTACTGGTACACTAGCAACTTCTTGCCAATTTAAGATTTTCCTCAACAGGTAGCTAATGGGATTCCAAGTATCATTCAGAATGATACATGGCAGAAACCAACACAATATTGTAAAGCAATTATCTTCCAATTAAAAATATTTTTTAAAAATAGAAGAAATATAAAAGAGAAAAATATAATACAAAAATAAGTAAGTCTTTATAGAATAAAACTACATCATCCCAGGAACCCATTCTCATCTCATTCTTACTGGTAAAGTCATTTCTGAGATTGCTTCCTGCACTAACCTGCCAAGGGAGAAACAATTATGACGAAAAGTTTACCATTCATCATAATTATATACTATTACTTAATACATTCATTTCCCCAGAAGTAATAATTGGTCAAATAATTTTTTTCAAAATTACTGGAAAGGGATATGTCTTGGTTTTAGCCTTTTTAAGCAAACTCTACACAGTAGTTTAAAAATCACTGGCTTTAGAATTCCACTCCATTGTATTCCACTAGATCCTCAAGATGTATGTAAATGACTCCTTTAGGACAAAATAGAAATAGAACCACTTGTAATTCTCTATAGCAATCACTGAAAAAAAAAAAAGTCCACGTGCACTCAGGAACTATAAGAGATGGCACTAAATTAAAGAGGCAGTTTACCACAAATAATGCACTTCCATTTAAAGGGTAAAAGATCTATGCATACACCTTAATTTTAAAATGAGTTCAAAAGAACAGCTAACATGTATTCCAAAACTGTAAGTATTATCCTACGCATCCCTTGAAACTCTAATACTGACACTTACTATCAATGTCTAATCAATGACTATGTATAAGTAAAAAGGATAGTACTTCCCCTAGAAAACTGAAATTCAAAGTAGGGGAGGGGAAGAATGAAGAATTTTAACTGAGAGTTAGCTGCCTCTTTTTAGCATTGACATTTCCCAAGTTTTCTGTGAACAGAAAATTTTTTAAATGTGCTGAAATCACCCTTTCAGAATCAAATCCCAGCTACTTTGCCTTTTCTGTGGCTTAGTGTTTTGTCTTGTTTCTAAATCACTGCGATGGTAATATACTTGAAATTAACTGAAATAAAGCTGCTTGAACTGCTTTAAGACCAGAAGCTTTCCGGAAACTTTCACAGTTCATCTAAGTTCTTTCATTGTGTGAGAGTGTGGAGTTAGTGAGGCCAAGACTGAAGACCCAGTACGTGCACTCTTTGAGAAGGTTAAAGTAATTAAGCTCTTAGGGAAGACTTCTGTGTGTCATCTGACAGCCTTTAGCCGACCAAGCAGGAACAGGAGGAATCACCAACTCAAAAAAAGAAAAAATGCCAGTACGCCAACCTGTTGATCTGTGTGTATCAACATACAGCAAAGACAACCAGAAAGCAAACCAATTTCTACACAGACCTAAACCACACTCAACTATGAACAAATAAGTTGTGAAGAGGACTTAATGATTCTGTTACTTACACGAATGATTTGCACTGAGAGCCTTACCAATTGAAAAGTCATCTAATGATCCCCACTAGTATTACCTGGTATAGGAGGTGTTTTCAATATCTCATTTAAAGTAATTTGTCCCGTCACGAGCCTAGTTAAGCATTAAAGCCCAGGCCCAGCCCACCTCTTCTGACTCTCTAAAGAGGATTTAAAATGTACTCGGTTTATCTGCTTTCTCTACCCTCCCTGCAGAATTGAGAGAATGCTTGAAAGATACAATTTCACAAGAATCTTGGCACCTAAGCTATTTATTGTTGAGAGATGACGAATATGACTTCAAGCAAAAGCAAAACTTTCTCAACAGTCCAAAAAAAAAAGCGGGGGGTGGGGTGCGGGCGAGCAACTCCTCTCCCCAAGTTCAATCAAAGTATTTACAAGTCTTTCTGACCGTCCAGGTTAAAAGGGATACTAAAGTTAAACACCAAGAGAAAGGAGTTTTTCTCCAGAGCGCTTTCTCAGGAGTAAGCCCAACTCCCTGCTCTTCTTCCTGCCGCGAGCCACGGGTGTGCGGGGTCTGGACGCCTGGGCCACCGACGCGGGGCCTGGGGGTCCCCGGCTGTCCCGGCCAGGCCGGAGGGCGAGGACTCCTGGGGCGGGGCCGCTCTGACAGCTGGAGGGCCGCGAGCGGGGGCGCGCGGGGCACGGGACCCGGGGCCGGGTGGAGAAGGAGGAAGCGAGCCCGGGGCGCTGGACGCGGGCGCCCTCCTGAAGGGCAGGGAGACCGGAGGGCGAAAGGGCAGCGGGGCGGGAGCACCGGCGGAAGGGCAGCGGGATGGGACGTGGGGCCCGCGGCGCCCCGGGACGCGGTGCCGGCAAGGGGAGGGGCGTCCCGCGCAGGCGGGGCGGGCGCGAAGGACGAGGTTTCGGGGTGCGCTGGCCGCCCCCCTCGCCGGGGCGCGGATTTCAGGGGCGGGGCCGGCCGGACCCCACACGGCGGCCGCGGCCAAGGCAAGGGCGCGCCAGGCACCTGCCGCCTCCGCCGCGGCGGCCCCGGGCGATCTGGGCTCTCACCTCTTCGGTTCATGGGCCGGATCCGGACGGCCACTTTCACTTTGGAGTCTCCCATCCTGCCGCCGCCGAGGTTCTCGCTCGGCTTCCGTCTGCCGCGGCCACCGGGCAACTCTTTGGGGCTGACCGGGCGGGAGGGGGCTACGGACGAGAGGGGCGTGGTCAGGGCGGGGCCTGTGGAGGGGCGGGGCCGGCCCGGGGCTCCCGGCGCGCCCCCGCTGCATGACGGGACTTGTAGTCCCCGTAGGTGGTCTTGGGTAGGCCGGCAGAGCTTCGGGCGCGCTTCCCTCTCTGGAGTTTGTAAATTCCCTTCTGCTTCAACACCATCCTCTCCCTTGTGGTTAATACTGAGACATAAGCTGTCGATGAGCTGATACCTCACCTGAAAACAAACAGTTGAAAAATGGCATTGGCGACCTTGCGACCTCTTTCAGACTCATTTCCTGACAAATCTTGTGTTTGATCCCAGGCTCAAATTATCTCCTCTGCCTGGATTGCCCTACCCACCTTGTTTGCTGAAATCACCCTTGAAGGCAAATCAAAAGTTACCTCTTCCAGAGATCTTCATAAATCCACAGGTTATCCCATACAAGCCACCCCCTGTCCCAGTCAAGACCTTGGGAAATCAGGCATCAAGCTGGGTTCAAATCCATACTTAACAGTTTCCAGCAGTGTGACCAGACAAGCGATTTGACCACTCTGTGCTAGACTTTTGCATATTTGTTATCCCATACAAGCCACCCCCTGTCCCAGTCAAGACCTTGGGAAATCAGGCATCAAGCTGGGTTCAAATCCATACTTAACAGTTTCCAGCAGTGTGACCAGACAAGCGATTTGACCACTCTGTGCTAGACTTTTGCATATTTAAAATGAAGACCATGAGAGTGCCTACTTTATAGTTTCTTAGTCAGGTTCAATGAGTTAATATAGATGAAGCTCTTAAAACTCCCTGGCACATATGTGCTTAGGAAAAGTCATTATTTTGCTCAGTTATAACGTTTATGCTGCAACACTGTCTCTCCTATCTTGTATTTTAAAAACTATATGTTATATGTGTAACCTAGCCTGTAGTAGAGACTTGGTAAACATTTATTACATCAATGAATCAATGAAGTCACACTAAAATGTGGTTTTTGTTAAGCCCTAGCAGAGGTGCTACCTGGTGGCCTATGGGTAAGATGGGGCCTGCAAATATGTCACATCTGGCCCAATGGAATTGGCCAATGCATGAAAATTGGGAAGTTTTTACATGCAATGCTGGGCCTACATTACATATTAGGAATACTGGTAGAAACTGAGTCGCAGTGGCCCCCTTTATAAGAGGCAGATCTGCTTGGATGCGTTTAAATGATAGAATAGAACTCAGAACAGTTGTACAGATGAGTAAACAGAGAAAGCTGGCAAGACTTGCCCTTGGGTCAACCATCCTATTGTTGAAAGAGCTTCAAAGAGTTGTCCAAAAGTTTAAAAATACCTCTAAGAGATGTTTAGTATAATAAAGAGATATATAGTAGGAGGAACCATATTCAGTATCCTATGATAAACCATCTCGGAAAATAATAAACATATATGACTGGTTGACTCCACTGTACAGCAGAAATTAACACAATGTGAAATGAGCCTGATACAAAAAAGAAAGCAGTGTATGATTGCACTTATTTGAGGTACCTAGAATCATGATTCAGAGACTGAAGGTAGAATGGGGGTTGCTAGGGGCTGAGAGGAAGGGGAATAGGAAGTTAGGGTTTCTGTTTGGGAAGATTAGAAAGGTTCATCAGCAACTGAATGGACATGAGTTTGAGCAAACTCTGGGAGATGGTAAAGGACCACGAAGCCTGGCTTGCTGCTGTCCATGGGGGTCGCAAAGGGTCAGACACAACTGAACGACTGAACAGCAGCAGCAACAGGGACTTCCCTGGAGATCCAGTGATTAAGATTCTGTGTTTCCAAGGCAAGGGGCACAGGTTCGATCCTTGGTTGGGGAGCTAGGATCCCACATGCCATGCAGCATGGCCAAAAAAAAAAGAAGGTTCTAGAGATGGATGGTGGTGATAGTTGCACAAGAATGTGAAGGTATTTTATGCCATTGAACTGAACACCTACAAATGGTTAAAATGGTACGTTTGTTATGTATGTTTTACCACAACTAAAAAAACTAAATCAGTATGTTCTACACCTAAAACTAATATTTTAATTGTACCTCAATTTAAAAATAAGGATGGAAAAAGATTAAAAATAGAAAACGCAACCTCTGTTTCTTATAAAGAGTGCCTCTGGGGTGAGATTTCAGAGGATCTTCTCAGCTGGAGAAGCAGTAGGTGTTGGACAAAATCTTTTGATTTTCACAGCCCAGTAAACAAATAAGGAGAACCAATTTAGATTTTCCAGCTTTTTAATTTTACTAAGTAGATTCTTTAAAAACTAATGGACCAACAAATTGCTATTTACTATCATTCTTTAAAAAAAAAAAAAAGACAGGTCACATAGAATGTATTTTTATATTGAAATCATTTCCTGGCTAAAAAAATCCTCACTCCTACACTTTTGTCCTTCTTTGGCATTGAAAACAGCTTTCCAGGTGGCTCAGTGGTAAAGAAATCTGCCTGCGAATGCAGGAGATGCAGGTTCAAACCCTGGGTCGGGAAGATCCCCTGGAGGAGGAAATGGCAAACCACTCCAGTATTCTTTCCTGAGAAACACCATGGACAGAGGAACACTGAAAAAACTGCTGTGGCCCTTGGACTGATTACCAGTTTATTCTGGATTGAAACATATTTCCTATTAACCATCTCACAATATGCAAGTTATAACAAATAAAGGTTTGCAATGTGCCAAGGTTCCTGGGCATCCACTCTTCACTTGATATTTCTTTTATCACTTCGTGGTGTGGTACTCCCATCTCTTTAAGAATTTTTCACAGTCTGTTGTGATCCACACAGTCAAAGGCTTTGGCATAGTCAATAAAGCAGATGTTTTTCTGGAACTCTCTCACTTTTTAGATGATGCAACTGATGGTGGCAATTTGATCTCTGCCTTTTCCTCTGCCTTTTCTAAATCAGCTTGAACATCTTGAAGTTCATGATTCACATACTGTTGAAGCCTAACTTGGAGAATTTTGAGCATTACTTTGTTAGTGTGTGAGATGAGTGCAATTGTGCAGTAGTTAGAGCATTCTTTGGCATTGCCTTTCTTTGGGATTGGAATGAAAATTGACTGTTTCCAGTCCTGTGGACACTGTTGAGTGTTCCAAATTTACTGGCACATTGAGTGCAGCACTTTCACAGCATCATCTTTTAGGATTTGGAATAGCTCCACTGGAATTCCATTACCTCCACTAGCTTTGTTCATAGTGATGCTTCCTAAGGCATCATTTGACTTCCCATTCCAGGATGTCTGGCTCTAGGTGAGTGATTACAAAATCATGGTTATCTGGGTCGTGAAGATCTTTTTTATAAAGTTCTTCTGTGTATCTTGCCACCTCTTCTTAATATTTCTGCTTCTGTTAGGTCCATACCATTTCTGTCCTTTATTGTGCCCATCTTTGCATGAAATGTTCCCTTGGTATCTCTAATTTTCTTGAAGAGATCTCTAGTCTTTCCCATTCTGTTGTTTTCCTCTATTTCTTTATACTGATCATTGAGGAAGGCTTTCTGATCTCTCCTTGCTATTCTTTGGAACTCTGCATTCAGATGGGTATATCTTTCCTTTTCTCCTTTGCCTTTCATTTCTCTTCTTCTCACAGGTATTTGTAAGGCCTCCTCAGACAACCATTTTGTCTTTTGGCATTTTTTTTTCTTGGGGATGGTCATGACCACTGCCTCCTGTACAATGTCACAAACCTCCATCCATAGTTTTTTAGGCACTCTATCAGATCTAATCCCTTGAAACTATGTCACTCCCACTGTATAGTCATAAGGGATTTGATTTAGGTCATAACTGAAATGTCTAGTGATTTTCCCTACTTTCTTCAATTTAAGTCTGAATTTCACAATAAGGAGTTCATGATCTGAGTCACAGTCAGCTCCTGGTCTTGTTTTTGCTACTGTATAGAGCTTCTCCATCTTTGGCTGCAAGGAATATAATCAATCTGATTTCAGTATTGATCATCTGGTGATGTCCATGTGTAGAGTCTTCTCTTGTGTTGTTAGAAGAGGGTGTTTGCTATGACCAGTGCGTTCTCTTGGCAAAACTCTATTAGCCTTTGCCCTGCTTCATTCTGTACTCCAAGGCCAAATTTGCCTGTTACTACAGGTATTTTTTGACTTCCTTCTTTTTCAGTCTAGTCCCCTATAATGAAAAGGACATCTTTTTTAGGGTATTAGTTCTAGAAGTTCTTGTAGGTCTTCATGGAACCATTCAACTCAGCTTCTTCAGCATTACCAGTTGGGGCACAGACTTGGGTTACCGTGATACTGAATGGTTTGCCTTGGAAACAAACAGAGATCATTCTGTCATTTTTGAGATTGCATCCAAGTACTGCATTTCAGACTCTTGTTGACTTTGAGGGCTATTCCATTTATTCTAAGGGATTCTTGCCCACAGTAGTAGATAAAATGGTCATCTGAGTTAAATTCACCCATTACAGTCCATTTTAGTTCGCTGATTCCTAAAATGTTGATGTTCACTCTTGCCATTTCCTGTTTGACCGACACTCCAGGGCCTACCGTCTTGTTGGACATGGAACAACAGACTGGTTCCAAATCAGGAAAGGAGTATGTCAAGGCTTTATATTGTCACCCTGCTTATTTAACTTATATGCAGAGTACATCATGAGAAATGCTGGACTGGATGAAGCACAGTTGGAATCAAGATTGCCAGGAGAAATGTCAATAACTTCAGATATGCAGGTGACACAGCAGAAAGCAAAGAAGAACTAAAGAGCCTCTTGATGAAAGTGAAAGAGGAAAGTGAAAAAGTTGGTTTAAAACTCAACATTCAGAAAACTAAGATCATGGCATCCGGTCCCATCACTTCATGGCAAATAGATGGGGAAACAATAGAAACAGTGACAGATGTTATTTCCTTGGGCTCCAAAATCACTGCAGATGGTGAGTGCAG